CCCCTTGAGGGTTGGGGACCTTAGATTGTACGTCCCTTGAGGGCTAGGGACCATAGATTGTACACCCCTTGAGGGTTAGGGACCTTAGATTGTACGCCCCTTGAGGGTTAGGGACCTTAGATTGTACGCCCCTTGAGGGTTAGGGACCTTAGATTGTACGCCCCTTGAGGGTTAGGGACCTTAGATTGTACGCCCCTTGAGGGTTAGGGACCTTAGATTGTACGCCCCTTGAGGGTTAGGGACCTTAGATTGTACGCCCCTTGAGGGTTAGGGACCTTAGATTGTACGCCCCTTGAGGGTTAGGGACCTTAGATTGTACGCCCCTTGAGGGTTAGGGACCTTAGATTGTACCCCCTTGAGGGTTAGGGACCTTAGATTGTACGCCCCTTGAGGGTTAGGGACCTTAGATTGTACCCCCTTGAGGGTGGGGACCATAGATTGTACGCCCCTTGACGGTTAGGGACCTTAGATTGTACGCCCCTTGAGGGTTAGGGACCTTAGATTGTACACCCCTTGAGGGTTAGGGACCTTAGATTGTACGCCCCTTGAGGGTTAGGGACCTTAGATTGTACGCCCCTTGAGGGTTAGGGACCTTAGATTGTACGCCCCTTGAGGGTTAGGGACCTTAGATTGTACGCCCCTTGAGGGTTAGGGACCTTAGATTGTACGTCCCTTGAGGGTTAGGGACCTTAGATTGTACTCCCCTTGAGGGTTAGGGACTGATGTGAATGTACAATATATATGTAAAGCGCTGCATAAAATGACGGTGATATATATATGTACCTGAAATAATAAATCAGTTTCACCCTCAATTCAATTATGCAAAATGGGTCAAAAGTGATTAAAAAGGTCATTAGAAAGTATTATTAATTGTTTTTTTTATCAGACTGTTGAAATGATAGTTTCATCAAACAATCGGGTGTGAGGTTAGTATATCCGTGCTTTCAGTAGGAGAAGGAGCAAGCCGATTAGAAAAGCATTGTCAGTTTTTGTTGAAGCCTTTGAACTGAGCATGTCACGGATCTAAAGTGTGAAATTAAGCTGTAGCTGTAAAGAAGAGATAAGATACTTCCCGCTCCTGCGGCCTGCACCACCGAATGCCACTTTAGTCAGTAGAAATTGTCCTTCAAAGTCTGTCTGACAACTGACACTTCCCGAGTGTTGATCTCCTGGATCCCTGGCAGCTCGCAGTGATTCCTCATTATTTACCATGTCATTACAGGACATGCAGTGATCACGGGTGATTACCAGAGGAGCTCGGTGGTACAGATAGCAGAAGAAGTAAGTATTCAGTCTCTCCTATACAGGAAACAATTTAATTACGGATTTTAGATCAGTGACAGGAGTCACTTTAACATCCCCTTACTGGAGCTGAAGTTGGCTTTAGCCCGGGTTCACACCGATGAGGTACGGAATTTGCAGCGTTTCCTCTGCGAATTCCGCACCGCATCAGAATCGCACCCCGTTCATGAGAACCGCTGTGTGTATGTTAACAACACCCCGAAATCGGTCCGCGATGTGCAGAATCGGATCGCATAGGTGTGAATACCCGTGCGATCCGATTCTAGTGCGGACCCAAAAAAGGGTCCTGCGCCATTTTGGTGCGGGTGCGGTGCGATTGGAGCCATACATAAGGTATGGCTCCAATCGCACCGAAAACAAATCGCATGTGATTTGTACAGGAATGCGGTGCGGTTCCTGTGTGAATCACATGCGATGTACCGCACATGTGAGATCCTAGCCTTAAAGTGGCAGTGAATTGAAAAAAACTCCACTGACAGGCATGGCTTTTATAACTGCCTCGAGGTATCTTCTGTCATAAATGTCCCCCCCCCGCCTGTCAGCAGATAATGTGATCTGAGCCACGCATGCACAGCTCAGGCCACATTTACGGCCCGTGTGACATCACCTTGGCCCAGCCATTCAAGTGGCCCAAGATATGAAACCCGAAAGGAAGATGGAAGCCGCCGGAGACCAGGGAGACCGTGACAGTGCAGTGCTGGAGGGCTCCGTTTGTAGGTACGTCTGTCATAATGTCACAGTATACAGTGCAAAACCAGCTGCCTCTGATCTGGTCCATCCAAATGGAAAAGGACGCAGTCCTCCTCCCATTTTTTTTTAATGGACCATATCAGAGGTAGGTGGGGTAAATGGACACAAGTCCATTTAACCCGATGCATTGACCTTCCGATCTGAAAAACTGACAGGTGGATCTGATCGGATTGCCTGTGTGAATGGACCTTTAGCCTTCAAACCCGGTATAATTAGCCTACTAACCTTGGGCATACGCAGAATCCTCCACTTCATCCTCATCATCATCGGATGAAGAGTCTTCACTTTCCCGTAGTGGTGGGATAATGGCATCAGCTTCAAGCACAGCTTCTTTCAGCAGCAGAGAATCAAATTTTACAGTGTAGAATGAGTTGTCAATGTCTACAATACGGAGGGAAAAGTCAGTCAGCAGGAGTATCCAAACTGCAAATGTAAAAAAGGAGTAAAAAAAAAAATCAAAGTACATCTAAATTCAAGAACAAAAATGTATGCATGCGCAGTGGGCACCCGGCTGTGAAGCCGCAAACTGTCACAGCCTGGTGCTCACAGTTGAGATGTCAGACCCATGGACAGAAGAAGAAGAGAAGGGACGGCGCGGGTGAGAGCATCGCTGGACCCCTGGGACAGGTAAGTGTGTGTTTATTAAAGTCAGCAGCTACAGTTTAATAAATACAAAAATGGATGGAGCTCGGATGTAAATCAGGAAAAAAAAAAAAACAAAAAACAAGCTGCCATGCACCCAATCTTGAATCTCATATCATTCAGCAACCCTGAGGAAGTCACATGTGTGGGTGACGAAACGCGTAGGGGTGAGACTAGTGGATGACATCACAATGCTCAGAAAAAAGGATCAAAGATCATAGCGTTGAGAGCGGTATTGCACAGGACCGCCATATCTATAGTGCACACGCTGTATATATTGGGCACCAATTAAAAGTGAGTGCAATGTTAATTTTGAGTTAATTGAAAAGAAGGGGAGCGAAGCTGTGTGTATTGACTGGAACCAACAACCAGCATCTACAGTGTCCAAGAACGGAACAAAAAGCGCTAGATGACCGAGCAGTGATGGGAGGCCATATATTTAGGGTGAGCGGACATCTGGTGGTGGTGTGATCACTGAGCGTTGCAGGATCAAGCACAGAAGGCGGCATGAAATATAAGAATTATAATGTGGTTATTGCGGACTTTATGTTCGATTTCACAAGTATCACTTTATATTGAGTTAATATTTATTATTCTTTAATTTGGTGTTTATGAAATAAGTATATCATTTTTTATGGACAATTATTTATTATTAATTTATTAGTATACGACTGGTGTACTTTAGAACCTGTTTTTCCATACCGACCCAGTAACACTGGCCTTGATCCGCCATGCTCCAATAGTGCTTAAAGCAGAAGTACTTAAAGTGTTACTAAACCCCGGGTTCCAGGAACTCCAGATTACCAACAAAGATGAGCAGGGCAGCTTGGTGCACTACAGCAATGCCGGCATAAACAAATCAAGCCCTGATCAAGAGGGCTATGTTTCCTACATGCATCTCAATTTTGGAAGGAGGGTATCGTTAAATGGGAAAAAGCCCCTAGCTGGCTCCTGGTGTGAAAGGAAAAAAAAAACAGCCCCTAGGGTGACAGAGCAACGCAAAGGTCACTGACCGGCCAGCAGCCCCTAGGAGGTTTGAAATTTACACCCAAAGACAAAATTTTACAGAAGGAATTATAATAGAAATGCTTGTTTTTTTTTTCCCTGCTTTACAATACTGGCAATGTATTGGGAGACATAAAAAACTGGTGTGCCAAGCCCTGTAGTCCTGGCGGCTCAGACTTCACCTATAATCCGCCCAGGGTACCAGATGCCGTCGCTGTGCCGGGCCAAGCAGGGTTTATCGAGGCCAAAAGAGTCGAGGTCTGCCTCCTTAAAGACCCGCAGCTCACTTGCTGGCACAACTTGTCCATGTGAGAACCTGAAAGGAGGGAAAAATACAAAAACCGGTCAAAATACAAGATCTATGCACTGTGCTCATATCCAAAATGAAGAGAGTGACCATGACAGACGTAGTCATAGCAAAAAGCATTAAAAAAAAAAAAAAAAGGTACTAAGGATCAAAACACATACAAAAAAAAAAAAAAAAAAAAGAAACTATGCTAGATGCAGGATGTTTTTAGATGTTTATAAAGGATCAAACACACATCAGCTGCAGCAATTTAGTGATAGGTGCAGGTTCAGGGCCAATCAGAAGGGGACACTCTCAATATATGGATTTTTTGCGATGCGCAACAACAGAAAACCCATGTTCCCGCAGTGCATTAAAGCTTACACCCCATTCACACTTGTCTGACTCGTCATACGACTTTGGACATCAAAGTTGCATGCCAAGTCATCCCCCATGTTTTCCAATGATACCCATTCATATATATGTGCAACTTAAAAGACTTACAGGACTTTTCCAGAGCTTCCCCCATCCTTTGGGACTCTCTACCCCAATTTATCAGACTGTTGCCTTCTCTGCTCACATTTAGTTGATCTCTGAAAACCTATCTCTTCAGGGAAGCCTATCCGGCCCTCAGCTAACAATGGAATCTTCTACTCATCCTACCAGTCCATCCCCCACAGTTACTACCTTTTGTACCAATAGCCCCTCCCTCCTTGATTGTAAGCTCCCAGGATCAGGCCCTCCTATCCCTCTTGTATTGAACTGTATTGTTGCTGTATTGTCTCCTGTTATATTGTAAAGCGCTGAGCAAACTGTTGGCGCCATAAATCCTGTATAATAATAATTTCCCTTCAATGTCCCAAATCCAACTAGAAGGGAGAGGAAATCCCTGGTTGTCAGCAGAACTGGTGTCTCCGTTAGATTTCCTCTCTTTTCCTGTTCTGGGAACAACCCAAAATTTGGAATTTCCTATCCCTTTTTGGGATAATAGTAAACGAGACAAATAGAGAGGGTGATCTCCCTAACTGGGCCACAGACAGCAATACAAGCCTGACGGGTGTTCTAATCCCCTCTCCACTCCCTCCAAAACTAAAAGAAAGTTTTCTCTTCAGTTAGACTTTGTAATCTGCATGTTTTCCCCGGATAGTGCTGGGGAAGTCCGAGTCAGCCAGGGAACTAGCATTTTTAAACGTTGGTCCGCAACGATAGTCACTCTACAGGACAGCGGCCAGTGAGCCAATGAAAATGGAGAGGGGGCGGGGCCAAGCCACAGCTCCGTGAGTGAACGGATGCATGGAGCAGCAGGTGAGGAGTGTGCATGCTTAGGTGACCCCATAGCAAGCTGCTTGCTACGGGGGCACCCGACAGGAGGGAGGGGCCAAGAGTGCCAGCAGGGGAACCGAGAAGAAGAGGATCCAGGCTGCTCTGTGCATAACCAATACACAGAGCAGGTAAGTATGACATGTTTGTTATATAGAGATATATAGAGAAAATGTAAAAAAAAAAAAAAAAAATATATATATATATATATATATATATATACATACACACACACACGACTAGATAGATAGGATAGATAGATAGAGATATGGGAGGGATAGATAGATATGGGAGGGATAGATAGATAGATAGATAGATAGATAGATATGGGAGGGATAGATAGATAGGGATAGATAGATAGATAGATAGATAGATAGATAGATAGATAGATATGGGAGGGATAGATAGATAGATAGATAGATAGATATGGGAGGGATAGATAGATAGATAGATAGATAGATAGATAGATAGATATGGGAAGGAGAGATAGATAGATAGATAGATAGATATGGGATAGATAGATAGATAGATAGATAATAGATAGATAGATAGATAGATAGATAGATAGATAGATATGGGATAGATAGATAGATAGATATTTTTTTTTTATTATTTTTTTTCTTTAAATTATTTATTTTTAAATGTAAGCCTTTAGAATCACTTCATTAAAAAAAAAACTGAGAGGGGTTATACCCTTCCCTTATCCTGTCCAATACTAAAAATAAAATTGGCTTTCTGAAACTTTAAAACAAAACAAATGAGCATTCTTGGATCAGTATGACAGAGGATGTAGCAGCTGCAAACCCTCCAGGTTTCCATTTCATCCTTTAATTCCTCTTTAAAAAGTAAACTCATTAATAGTGGCGAACATTTCCAAGGCACCAAGAAACTTGCACCTATACAAAGTGTGTGATTTTTTTTTTTTTTTTTTTAGGTGTTGGGACAATCCAGTTCCTGGAATTTCCAGCCTTGAAGCGCTTTGCTTACCTGCAGCTTTCATTAAAGCGACACCTTCCATCCAGAAAATAGGGGCAGGGTTTCATGGCCTTGTGCGTGGGGTACAGATAGAGAACCCGGACCCCAGGACTCCCATCCTCTGTTTTCTCCGAGCCCACAATCATGGCGTTATGATACTCCAACGTCCCCCACGTGCTATAGTAAGGGGCTCTGACCTTCATGCCACTAGTTTCATCTTCCTCTTCCTCCACCTCCTCTTCCTCACTGCATCCTGAACAACTGGATTTATTATCCGTGGCCTCACCTTCATTACCCTGTTCCCCTATGGCCCTCCTGAAAGCCTCGTATTCACCATCCTGCTGCGAGGAGGAGGAGGAAGGACCATCGAGGGCGGACAGTAAGTTTCGATTTCTGCACCGACAGCAGGCTAGACTCGGTCAGTTCTATCAGCTGCTGCAAGTCCCCCTCAAGCTGGAGGAGGTCGGCTTTCTGTGAGGGGTCCAAATCAGCGTTCAGGTCTGTTTGACCTGCTCCAGCTGGGCTTTATAGGTCTGTATGGCGGCTTCCAGGCTCTCTTCATCCATAATGTGCAGCAGAACACCTCCACCCAGAAACTGACTCCTTTATTCTTTATAGAGTGTGTCTTCTGTAACATAAAACATTGAATGTCACCGATCATAAACCGTGTTCATGGATCCTGCGAAATAATCTCATTTATTGTGAAAAAGGAGAAACCCAGCTCCTAAAACATGGACTGAAATCCAGTACTTAGACCACCTGAGGGTCCAAGTACAATGACACACTGACACTTGGGGATCCCAGAAAAATGACCCGCTGACATTTGGGGGTCCAGAACAATGACACGCTGACACTTGGGGGTCCAGAACAGTGACACGCTGACACTTGGGGGTCCCAGAACAGTGACACGCTGACACTTGAGGGTCCCAGAACAGTGACACGCTGACACTTGGGTCCTAGAACAGTCCCAGAACAGTGGGTCCCACACGCTGACACTTGGGGGTCCCAGAACAGTGACACGCTGACACTTGGGGGTCCCAGAACAGTGACACGCTGACACTTGGGGGTCCCAGAACAATGACACGCTGACACTTGGGGATTCCAGAACAATGACACGCTGACACTTGGGGATTCCAGAACAATGACACGCTGACACTTGGGGGTCCCAGAACAATGACACACTGACACTTGGGGATTCCAGAACAATGACACACTGACACTTGGGGATTCCAGAACAATGACACACTGACACTTGGGGATTCCAGAACAATGACACGCTGACACTTGGGGGTCCCAGAATAATAACACACTGACACTTGGGGCCCCATACATACTGGAACTTGTCGTTCCTCAGCACCTGACTGAAGCACAAACTCTCCTATTCCAGCCAGAACTTCATTCTCACCTCACACAGCCGCCATGACACCGGCGCCATAAAGTCACTCCTCTCAGGCTGCATCGGCCGCCATTTTCTTGTAGCCCCCTTCGGTCTATTTCAGTTTAAAACAATTCCCCCTCTAAGCGGAGATAGCACATCTTGCAGAAATCACTACACTCCTGATTGTTAGTTCCGAAAACAAATTAATTACACCGATCCAACGTCAGGGCAGGAGGTGCCACAACCATGATGGCCGCGAACTTTCTGCCATTTTGTTGTAGCCCTCTTAGTCAATTTCACCACAAAACAATGTATCTGTAAGCGGACTCAATCTATTAGAATCTATAGCTCAGTTCAGGCTTCTTGTATCCTAGTGCCTAAATGTTTACTGACCCAACGCTAAAAGGCGGTGCCACAACCAAGATGGACGTCTGAGTAGGACGCACGGGACGCCAGGTCCCAGAGTGCAGCGCGAGTTGGGGCGGAAGTGAGTGTTGGCTGAGGCCTGGTGAATGCTGATGGAGATCTGGGCAGAAGGTGGGTGAAGTGGGGGATGGATGGTGGGATGAAGGGGCCCGGGTGGCTGTGATCATCCTGTATAGTTTTGTCTCAGCAGAGTCTTCTCTTCCTGGCTGGAGGCAGAGGCCAGCTCTTCTCTCCCCTGACATTTACATCCAGGTAACATTAGCTGGACTCCATATGGGCCCCTCTAGATACTCCACCCAGGGGCCACTACAACTGGCACAGTGGCATTGGACCATCCCTCTAGTACCCCAGGAGCCCAGTAACTGCCCAGGGGTTGTGGCATCACTTGGCAGCCAAGCATAGGTATGTGGGTCATGCTTTGTCCCAGGGGCCCCGGAGGGGGGGATTTAAAGAGCCTGTCATTGCGGAACCCGCCTTTTTACGAATGCTGGTTCCCTGGCTGTCATGCTGATGGCTGGACGTCAATGCCAAGGGCGGAGAGATACGGAATTCTGACATTCGTTTTGCAGCAAGCTTGGTCTGAGACCAAAAAGTACCAAAGTCAGACAGCCAGGCAATTGGCATTTTTCTTCAGGAGGCCAACAATGGCAATGCCTTCACTTCCCTGCTGACATTGGCGCTTTAATTGTGCCACGGGCCTCTTCTCCAATAGATCACTGGCACCACGGGTCTCTTCTGCAATAGATCACTGGCACCACGGGTCCTCTTCTCCAATAGATCACTGGCACCACGGGCTCTTCTCCAATAGATCACTGGCACCACGGTCTCTTCTCAATAGATCACTGGCACCACGGGTCTCTTCTCCAATAGATCACTGGCACCACGGGCCTCTTCTCCCAATAGATCACTGGCACCACGGGCCTCTCTTCTCCAATAGATCACTGGCACCACGGGTCTCTCTCCAATAGATCACTGGCACCACGGGCCTCTTCTCCAATAGATCACTGGCACCACGGGCCTCTTCTCCAATAGATCACTGGCACCACGGGCCTCTTCTCCAATAGATCACTGGCACCACGGGCCTCTTCTCCAATAGATCACTGGCACCACGGGCCTCTTCTCCAATAGATCACTGGCACCACGGGCTCTCCTCCTCCAATAGATCACTGGCACCACGGGCTCTCCTCCAATAGATCACTGGCACCACGGGCCTCTCCTCCAATAGATCACTGGCACCACCACGGGCTCTCCTCCAATAGATCACTGGCACCACGGGCTCTCTCCAATAGATCACTGGCACCACGGGCCTCTTCTCCAATAGATCACTGGCACCACGGGCCTCTTCTCCAATAGATCACTGGCACCACGGGCTCTCCTCCAATAGATCACTGGCACCACGGGCTCTTCTCCAATAGATCACTGGCACCACGGGGCTCTCCTCCAATAGATCACTGGCACCACGGGCTCTCCTCCAATAGATCACTGGCACCACGGGGCTCTCCTCCAATAGATCACTGCACCACGGGGCTCTCCTCCAATAGATCACTGGCACCACGGGGCTCTCCTCCAATAGATCACTGGCACCACGGGTCTGTTCTGCAATAGATCACTGGCACCACGGGTCTGTTCTGCAATAGATCACTGGCACCACGGGTCTGTTCTGCAATAGATCACTGGCACCACGGGTCCTCTCCTCCAATAGATCACTGGCACCACGGGTCTCTCCTCCAATAGATCACTGGCACCACGGGTCTGTTCTGCAATAGATCACTGGCACCATGGGCCTCTTCTCCAGTACATCACTGGTGCCATGGGTCTCGTCTCCAATAGATTATTCGCACCATGGGTTGCATCGTTCTTGTCTTCAGCTGGCCCTAGGATTGATGCTTACCCTCTCTGAGGCCACGGCATGGATT